TGGCAATCTCGTGCACTTCGGGTTCCAGTTCAAAAGAGATCCTGCGGTCATCAGAAGACTTCTTTGCGCCGGCTATCCTCGGTGAGGTATAATCCATAGAATCTTCATTGTCGCTATCAAAGAAGGAATCAATGGTAATGGGAGTTGCTTTCTTCTTTGGTGTCTTCTTGCTGGTTCTTTCTGAAGATGCTGAAGGCGATTGATCTGCATGTAGGAATTTACATTTGTTTCCGAACGTGCAGGTACCCTTTTGCCAGTTCCAACATATCTTCTTCTTGGGTCCAGCTGAAGATGAACTTCCTCTACTTTTCCCTCTTGATGAATCTCGACTTCCGCTTCTGCCTTTCTTACCTTTCATCTTGGCATCATAGACCTTCTGAGAATGACTGTAAAGACATTTGTCACCTTTGTTGCATCCTCCTTTATTGAAGAAGTAGTTACAGAAAATCTTCTTCTTGTCAACGGGTGAAGATGATCTTCCCTTCCCACCTTTGCCTTTCTTGTTGTTCTTGTCGGCATGAGATTTCGGAGAAGGTGTAGGAAGTACTGATGCAGCTTCACTCTTCGCTTTCGCCTTAGGCCGTTTGGGAAGATCACTTGTAGACGATGCAGCTGCTTCATTCTCCTTCTTGGTCTTGACGGGAGCAGCAGGCTTGTCTGCATCTTCTAAGGCAGGTGTCGTCTTGTTAGAGGACATTGACAGTTTCACTGCACGTTCTCTATCCTTCAACAGTCGTTCTTGCTTTCCTCTTGCTATGTATCCTTTGATCATACCAGTTAGGTAAACATAGGTCTTTTCCGGATGCCCTTCATCAAAGGTTTTGTATCGGTTGATATCAAAAGCCATAAGCTTTGAATGTTCAATCTTCCGGAACAATGTGTCACGCAGGGAATTGTTGGAAGGCAGATCATCATGTTTCATATTGTATACGATGTCAAGCCACTTGTTGTAAAAGGCCTCAAGTTGGTCATCTCCATAGTAGTTGAACATATACAAATGATGGGCATTGTAGAGAACTTCGGTGTGGTCAGGTGATTTGAAGCTAATCAGTATCATTGCAAATAGTTCTCGTCCCTTCATAAGACCCCACTTCTCCCATACAATTGGTTCTTCATGGACATGTCATACTTCACTTGCATGGACTTGTCCCCAGCATTGTCAATGACTTTCCTCAAGGCATTGGAGAGCTTGGCATCAATGGATTGGAATCTTACATCGGGTGCTTTGGCCAGAGTTTCCAAGTCAGGTTGATCTGCGAGACACGGAGCTAGCCATGCTTTCCAATCTTCATAGTTTCGATCTCCACTTGCAACACAAACTTCATGAACGACACTTCCCTTCCAGGATGAAAGTTCAGTGGTCTTAGGCCAGGGCTGGAGGCTGATCTTTTCGGCTTCTCTTAGAGATACGGATGACTTGGATCTATCCCTTTCAAGGTTCTCCAACTCCTTGACATTGGTGTTGTACTCGTTCCTGAGCTTTTCGAAGGGATGCAGGTAAGTCCATCAAGATGCTGAACGACAGAAGACTCGTGATTAAAGGTGCGACTGACTATTCCATTCCTGAAAGCCACTTGACCGAGATGCATCAATTGGCCAATGAGCGTTTCGCTGAGGTAGAAGAGATGTCGAGCACCATTGCTGCCCTGAAGTTGGAAAACCAAGCTCATTCCTCTTCATCAATGAATAGACCGACTACATTACATGGGTACCCCAGTAATGCTATGCCTCGGAATGAATGTGAAGAGAAGTGTGCCAAACTGAAAGCAGAGTTGGACGAGATGAAGCAAGAGAAGAACAATGAAGTTCGAAATCTTCAGGATGAGTTGAAGAAGATGGAAGATCGGAAAGATTACTACAAGAACAATTTCTCTCAAGCTGTGAGCACGCTCAAGAGAATCCTTTTGGGCTTCAAGTTCAGTATGAAGGCGAGCAATAGCTGTGTCCCTGTCATTGATCTCATTGTGCAAACTGTCGAACAAGCTACTCGTCACATTCGGATTGTTGCTCATGTGATCGATCTTGTTCAAAGCATCTTGATATTTCTTACCAGTTTCATCAAAGTTTCGCTGGAAGACTTTGAGCAGGTCCTCAGTGTCGATGAGTTCAGTTCTGTTTTGCAAGTACAACTTGTCGACTTCAGCCTTGGATTCCTTCAAACTGTCACGTTCTCGCACGGCTTGCATATACATCTCGTATAGAGGTCCTCCATGCGGTGATCTGCTTGGTGAAGATCTTCTGGCTTGTTGACAGGAAAGTTCATGATACTGATTCTTCGATTCAGTCAGTTGTTGTTGCATTCGATCTAAAAGACTTTGTTTCATGTGTAGTTCAGAACGTAGTCCCATTATCCTCATGTCCCGCATGCCGCCTGATTCAGCTATAGATTCTTCAGGAACCTTGTTCTCAGAAATTGCTAGTCGAGATTATAGGTTCTCATTTTGAATCATCTGCAATCGAAGTTGTGACTCTTCCAAAGCTAAATGATGTTCGCATTCTGCATAACGGTCATGTTCAGATCTTATGTTACTACGGAACTCCTTCATGATCTCGTCCCTCTTCACGTCAGCAGCATCGAGCTCAGTTTCCAGTCGTCTAACGTTCATGGCCATGGTGTGCTTCATTGTCTGGTTTTGATTGGCAACCTCGAGCATCTCGATCTGTAAAGCACATGTCTGGTCACTGGCGTAGCCGACCGCTAGAGCTTCTTGCTTGGCATTCATCTCTGCGCTTTCCAGTTCCAGTCTGAGTTGATTGATGTGAGCATTCGCATCGGCGCCCACATGTACCATGATTGCGCTCGCTTGTCCCATTTGTTCATCGAATTCCGAACGTAGTCGTGAATATTTGAATTCCAAATGAGATGCAGTTTCATTCGACATAGTCTGATACCTTTCCAACTCTTCGATCCTGTAGGTCGCACCTTCATCTTCTTGTTGTGCGGCCTGTAACTCGAAGTTCAGCATCTGGAGTTGTTCGGTCATCGACATCATCTCTTGATGAGTGGTGCTTTCCAGGAAGTTAAATTGTTGATAGGCATATGCTGTCGTCTCACTCAATCTTGCCTGAAGTACGGATTCTTCTTCAGTGGCCCTTTCCAGTGATGTTTTGTACTCAGCTAATTCACTCTTATAGGCAGTGAAGATGTCGCTACCACTTGACGGGGCGTTCACTTGCTGATACGATCCTGTCCCTGATGGTGTAGCGTCCTGAATCGGTGAAGGCGGATTCGACGACGTAGTCTTTGCCTTAGTCCTTGGAGTCATCGGAGGCGACAATTGTCGTGCAGATGATCTCCTCTTTCCAGGTGTGCTGTCCCTATCTTCAATTGCTTGCATTGTCGAAATTTGTCTCCCTCTAGGGGCAACCAGAGGTCGCCTGGGTAGGCTTGTTCTCAATTCTGAGGCATCGCTTCCACCAGTGTCGATACTCTGTGAAGAATTTGACTGCGTGCCGGCAGCTGGTGCAACGGCATGTCCAGAGAAAGAAAATGCATTATCGCTGCTATCCTGTTCAGTCATCTGTAAGGCCCGCGGCTACCCGCTCGTAGGCTCCGTAGGAGTCCTACGGCTGATAACCTGCGAATCGGGGATTGTTTGTCCGATTATGTTCTGGTAGTTGGATTCGAAGTAAAAGCTCCAATGATGACGTTACACGGGCAGCAGCTTCCGCATGGCAGTTCTTTGTTCTGGTGCTGCAGTAGGTCTTGAGCCAAAGAGGCCAGTTTGAAATACCCCTTTGGCATTGGATCCTAGAGTGTCGAATTATGTGTGAATACACAATCGTACGTAGCCTACACTCTATTCGCAGTATCTATGTGTGTATCTATCTATGAATGTATGTATGTATGTCTGTCTGTATGTCTGTATGTCTGTATGTCTGTATGTCTGTATGTATGTCTGTATGTATGTCTGTATGTCTGTATGTCTGTATGTCTATCTGTCTGTATGTCTGTCTGTATGTCTGTATGTCTGTATGTCTGTATGTCTGTATGCCTGTATGTCTGTATGTCTGTATGTCTGTATGTATGTCTGTATGTCTGTATGTCTGTATGTCTGTATGTCTGTATGTGTGTATGTGTGTGTGTATGTGTGTATGTGTGTGTATGTGTGTGTATGTGTGTGTGTATGTGTGTATGTGTGTACGTGTGTGTGTGTGTATGTGTGTGTATGTGTGTATGTGTGTATGTGTGTATGTGTGTGTATGTGTGTATGTATTAGTATGTATGTCTGTATGTCTGTATGTCTGTATGTCTGTATGTCTGTCTGTCTGTCTGTATGTATGTATGCATTTATGTATGTATGTATGTATGTATGTATGTGTGTCTGTATGTCTGTATGTCTGTATGTCTGTATGTCTGTCTGTCTGTCTGTATGTATGTATGCATTTATGTATGTATGTATGTACGTATGTATGTATGTATGTACGTATGTATGTATGTATGTATGTGATGTTATGTGATGTTATGTGATGTGATGTGAGGTGAGGTGAGGTAAGGTAAGGTAAGGTAAGGTAAGGTAATGTATGTGTGCGTATGTGTGTATGTGTGTATGCATGTATGTATGTAATGTAATGTAATGTTATGTAAATCAATGTAAATTAATGTAAATTAATGTAAATTAATGTAAATTAATCTAAATTAATGTAAATTAATGTAATGTAATGTAATGCAATGTGATGTGATGTGATGTGATGCATGCAATGTATGTATGTGTGTGTATGTGTGCATGTATGTATATAGATAGATAGATATAGATAAATGTTTTTACACGCGTGTAATTTCATAATATATTACCAAAAGGTCTAGAGCGAACATGGTAGCACCAGCCCTTGTCAAGAATGTGCGTGAATTGACTCGGAATGGCTCTACAAGTAGCAATCTCAGGGAGACCTTTGCAATTGCGCAACACATGCGACACTCCTATCTGCGAAAATAAAGAAGCCTAGCAGCCTAGAATACACATGCATACCCCATCTCTCTCTCTCTCTCTCTGCAGTGCTTAAAGAAAGAGCGCCGAAAAATACCGCAAGGCAAAGGCACCCGCTCTGCTGCTTTGCCTCCTTGAAATGCACAGCTTTAGGCCACCACGCTCGTGAGAAAGATTGAGAAAATTCAAAAAGCGCATGAATATATATATATATATGTGTGTGTGTGTGAATATCATGAATATCCAAGGGTCCTTGCTGCTTGCAAGCTCCTTAAGCTCCTTGAAACTCTTGATTTTTTGACGCCTGGGTGTTGTCAGTAGACTGTTGAAACTAGTGATGCAAAACCTTCACTTTGCAAAACTAGGACAACGTCAAGTCAGGCCCAGACTTGGAAGCAGCTTCCAGCATGCGGGTGTCCAAGAGTGTTGTGGGATCAATCTGCCAGAGGTGATATTACAGCATGTGTGTCCGATGTGAAGGGGCAGGAATGGATTCGGCAATCAATCTTGAATTACGAGGCGCTATGTTCACTTGGCAGTCAGGCATTCAAGCCCTCCTTTGTGTGTCACAGTCAGTGGGGGGTCGAGTCGCACCACAGCAGTAGGCTCCGGTTCGGATTTGGCAGCTGCGCTTTCTCTACCTCAGCTGGGGATCTTTCGCAAATGGCCTGGGCAATGGAGAAGCAGAATGGAAATGCCTTGAATCTCTCCTCCTTGCGGCGGATCCTCTTTTCTCCTGGAACAGCCACAAGAAGGCCAACCACTAGCATTCCCCATAGACGAAAACCAACATTGCACTGTGCGAAGTGTCAGTAAAACGTTCCCTTGCTGAGGGTTGCATCCTGGAGAGATCACGGCGATCCTGACACTGACACTGGTAGACATGATGTGACAAGCGACGTACTAACTAACCAATGCAAGGTGAAGCAGCGCGAAATTTACCAGAATTCGATGACTTAAAGCTTCCTCAGCGGCTATGAGCATGACACAAGATGCACCGTGAGTCAACAAACACCTGTGTGACTGACGTCGGGCTTCCATGGAAGTCTGAATTTCAAAGCGTCTAAATTCTAAAGGGTGAATGGGTGTGACCTTGTCTTTGTCTTTCTTCCCCGGCTTGTCATCAGACGCCTCTCCGCGCTTTAGATTCTCGAAACTTGGAAACGTTCACAAACGCCCGTGGGGTGAAGCAAACAGAAATGCGAATTGCCAGCAGAAGCCTTTGCCTCGAACAGTGGGCACTGTTCATTGCGCACTAGCAGCCTCAGTGGTGGTGTTTGCGCCTCCTTTTGCACCTAGTGCAATGCTTTCATCTTGAGACTGTCACTTGCAACAGCCAAATCCCCATCGGTCTTCATCTTTGGAGTACCTGCGAGGATCAGTCCCTACATTGAGCGGTATAATATCCAAACATTACCAAACTATCAGCACCTCTGATAGAGCGCATTAGAGCGCTATGCGTTCTGAATGTTCTGAAAATTCGTCGCTGCAAAACTACGGGCGCACCATGAGCCCCACACAGCTGTGTGCTCGCTCTCGTACACGTCTTCAGGATACCTGATGCCACATTGCTATACATATCTATACATCACTGCGGTTTGCCAGGCTGGCGTCAGGTACCAAGCAGGGCTGGGGGTATGTGGTGGTTGTATTCACTGTTGCCATCCTAATATCTGGACTTCATCGTCAGCCAGTATGTTTTTCCGCCAGACTGGCCAAACGAGGTTTCAAACGTCGGATCACGGAAGGCAGCCAGGCCAACAGGTTGCTATACAGTCGTTGGATATGGATGGACTTGGCGTGAGTCAACAGCTCTTGCAGGCTGCCTGGACTTGGCAAAAGTGCGGGCTGCTGCAGCTGCTCCTGCAAACCACTCCACTGAACAAATCTCCACGGCAACAACTAACGACAACTAGCTGATTTAGCTGGCAACCTAGCTGATCAACTCTTGAAACCAGGATGTTGTTCAACAAAGCTGTCGCCAGGGTCCTGATTTGGAGGGCGGCTCATCCCCTTCCTGCAAGTATGCGAACAAGCGGTCCCCGACCTCTCAACTAGGATGTACTCATCAGTCAAACACCAAAACTTCTGTGCAAAATGGGATGAGGATGGATTCTGTCTGTCTGTCTGTCTATCTGTCTATCTATCTATCTATCTATCTATGTATCTATTTATGTATCTATGCATGTATCTATACATGTATCTATGCATGTATCTATCTATGTATCTATGCATGTATGTAACTATGTATGTATCTATGTATCTATCTATGTATCTATGCATGTATCTATGTATCTATCTATGTATCTATGCATGTATCTATGCATGTATCTATGTATGTATCGATGTATGTATCTATGTATCTATGTATCTATGTATCTATGCATCTATCTTTGTATCTATCTATGTATCTATCTATGTATCTATCTAAGCATCTATCTATATATCTGTCTATGTATCTGTCTATGTATCTCTCTACCTCTCTGTCTATCTATCTATCTATGTATCTATCTATATATCTCTCTATCTCTCTATCTATCTATCTATCTATCTATCTCTCTATCTCTCTGTCTCTCTGTCTATCTATCTATCTATCTATCTATCGATCTATCTATCTATCTCTCTCTCTCTCTATCTCTCTCTCTCTCTCTTTATGTCTGTCTCTCTGTCTGTCTGTCTGTCTATCTGTCTATTCATCCATCCATCCATCCATCCATCCGTCCATCCATCCATCCATCCATCCATCCATCTATATATATGTCCATCGATCTATCTAATTCATCTATCTATCGGTCTATCTGTGTATGTAAGTATGTATCTATGTATCTTTGTACCTATGTACCTATGTATCTATGTATCTTTGTATCTATGTATCAATGTACCTATGTATCTATCTATATCTATCTATCTATCTATCTATCGATCTATGCATCTATGTTCTTTCTATGTATATATGTATCTATGTATCTTTGTATGTATGCATGTATGTATGTATGCATGTATGTATGTAGGTAGGTAGGTATGTATGTATGCATGGATGGACGGACGTATGTATGTATGTATGTATGTATGTATGTATGTATGTATGTATGTATGTATGCATGGACGGACGGACGTACGTACGTACGTAGGTATGTATGTATGTATGTATGTATGTATGTGTCTTTCACTCTGTCTGTACGTATTGACGTGCGGACGTACACAAACACGTAAGGGCGTGCGTACGTAGATGTACGTAGGTAGGCAGGCAGGCAGGCATGCATGCAAGTTGTGCATTCATCAGGCCCAGAAAATTGTAGTCCACATGCCTTCAATTATCATAAGCATTCGGGCTAAATTGAAGCACAAAACAACATCTACCGAGGGAAAAAACATTTTTCATTTCGGACTCTTCCATCAAGACTCCCGTGTCCTCGTCGCTGGCCTGAATGAAGCTTGGCAAGTCATAGTCATAGGACCCAAAATAAAGGGGATGCTTGCTCAACCGTTGATAGCCTGCTTTATTCCCCGCTGGGGTCTTTGCTCCTTTGTCGGCTTTGTCCGCTTGGGCTCGCCTCATGCAAGTGCCAGTGCCTATATAGGCCTATTACTTTAGCAATGCATTGTGACACACTTGCAGTCACAAGGTGCCGCGGCATAGGGAGTGACCAGTCGGCCACTATGATTTTGTCAAATTCCCTTTTGCCAATTGTTAAACAAACAGCTTTTTGTTCACACGCCAGTATCTTACAATGACCACTTGCCCTGACGCTGCACTCAGCGCTTGACTTCAGCTTCGTTCTGCGTTTCTGTTCTGCAATAGCTCGCCTGGTATGGAAATCGGGCAGGTGAATGGTGAAGCATGGTGAAGCCGGAGGCACAAATGTCCGTCGGATAGTCTGAGTCCACAGCTTGAGTTCCTCTTTTTCACTGTTGCCCAAGTGGCTGCTGGCTGCGCTTGCCTGGAAAACTAGTTTGTTTATCTGTGCTGCCTACTGCTAGGCATGACCAGACAATGCCAGACGATACTGCTATTCAATAATGTTCAGGCCTCAGCTGCACTCGAGAGGAAGTCGCTTGATTTGCCTTGACCTTCATCATCACACAATGCACCCAGCGAAAAAAAACTAGAAATGGCATGAGAACCTGAAAGTGCATTGGGCCCGCTAGAATTGCAAACGCATTGGTTTTTTGGAGGCTTGCCTAGAACGCCCACCCAGAATGGAGCAATCCAGGGGTAATTTCAGCAAACCCTTCCAATTGGATGTTCTACGGTTTCTGCACTTTCTGTGGTCTTCATGTTTTTCACAACTCAGCTTCCCACCAGAGAGATACATCTGTTTTCGTAGTTCTTCCACCTGACAAGTGGCTGGCATTGATACAGAATAGAAGCCTACAATATCCATCCATCATGTCCTACTAGTATGCGCAACGTTCTTTTCATTTCAGTGTGAACGTAACGCAGCATTGCAATGTGCAATGCGGTGCTTCCTCGCATAGACATGAGATGCCTTTATTTCACAGGGCTCAATTGTAAGTGGTTTGGCCATGTTTGGCCTGTCTCTCTTCATCTCTTCTTTTCTCCAATTCCTGCTGTTTCCGCATCTCACGTTCCTCCTCTGTCTGGGCCTGATCAAAGGCCAGATCAAACTGTTGAGTGATGTGTCGTAGCATTTCGGATCAGTAGGACATCATAGGGAACAAAACCGCTTGAGATTGGGAAAGGAGTCCTTCAAGAAATGCAATGAAGCATTCGCGCATGCATGTATGGATGGAGATGAAGTGTAGCTTTGTGATCATAAATCATAGTCATGGTTCCAATGACTTGCTGGTAAACAACACGTCAATATATCCCATCTTGCTGGTAAACAACACTTGCTGTTTGGCCAAAACCTTTCCAAAAGCAAAACCTGGTTGCATCAATGCATTGGCTGAATCTGTTCAACAACAAACTGCACAGAACCCAGCCTTCCAGAGCTTTTCTTGATTTCGTAAAGTCGAGGGATGGAAGAATTTCTTGTTGATGAAACCGCCTGCCTGCAAATTCATTTGCGCACAAAAAAAATCATTTGGCAACTGCAACCTGACAATACAAACATTGCACCTTTCCACCCACGCGCTGAAACGTTCCAAAATGCGAAATCTCTGAGAGGCCCATGGGGTTCCCAGACGACCTCAATTCTTCAGTCGAGGCATGACCCTCATCATTTTTTGGGCTGGAAGAAAGAGATCAGCAGAAGCAGAACACTTTTGAAAACTGGTGACACACTCAGCTAAGTTTGCGGCATGACGGCAAGGAAACTTGAAGCCGCACAAGCGGCAAAAACCAACACGTCACTAGCTAATATCAGGGAGATGCCTCGAGTGCGTGGTGAGCCATGCTGTCACTGAGTTCAAAACTTGCACCAGAAGATGATGTAAGTTTTTGGACTGCTCAGCCGATAGCAATGTCCGTAAGTGGTATGGTATAACTTCAAGTTCCCTTCGGAATGGAATGAACATGCATGCTCCCTTGGATGTCCAATATCCTCAACACTATATAAACATGTCCTTCTGGCTCAAGCCAAATGGCTGACAAGGCGCGCGCTGGAAACACAAGCCCTGTGATGGGATGTATCAATAGGGACAAAGCCACCAACACAGGAAACGGATGAAGTCTCACCAACAAATCATCTTGGTTCTGCCGGAATGCAGGGCTCGTTCCGCTGAGATACCGCCATCCCCACACAAACATACGGCACCGCGTCTTCCAAAGAAAAACACCGCACAACTGTGACTGTGAAACCGTTACAAACCAAAATGCCCACGGTGCCGGATTCAAAACAGCATCCAATGAGGACAGGCATGGCTTACTGAAATTGCACCTGTGTGCAGGCGCACAGTGATGGGTTTCCAGAATTCATCCATCCTGTTTTGGTGGCACCCAGTGCCGCCTATTTCGTCATTTCGGGGCCTGGCATTTAGTGTAGGTAGACGAGATTGGCACAATGAGAATCATGAGTGTGACATGACATCAATCCATATTATACATTGCCTGGATACTTTCTCGTGAAAACTTGAAGATGGCAGATTTTCGGAAAGGTTGTTGGAAAACTTGGAGAATGGACTCATCAGGATTGATCTCTTCGAAGCAACACCTAAGCGGAAAACACTCCTCAATGGTACGGCGTTTCTTTGGCTGCGGATTGCATAGCCTAAAGGGTCCAGAATTCGGACCACATGCAAAACGCTGAGCTTGGACAACTTTGTGTGCCAAAAATCTCAGATCCCCATGGACAACTCTACTTTTAGAGGGGGGGGTGGTAATACATTAAAATTTTCTAAGTAGGGCTAAGTATGGTTAAATGATAGGGTTTCGCGCTTCATCCCAGAGCAGCAAAAGGGGGCAAACATGGGTTTCAATCCAGCGTGTCCTTATTCCATACCGATGCCACAAGAGTCGGGCCCCGAACTTCGGGCCCCGAACAGATTGCCCCCAGGCAACTTTGTAGCAAAGGCATGTAGAAGCACATGTATGTGAATTCTGATGATGTAATCAAATGTTTTTTGGCATACCTGTGCCACAAGAGTCGGGCCCCGACCTTCGGGCCCCGAACAGATTGCCCCCAGGCAACTTTGTAGCAAAGGCATGTAGAAGCACATGTATGTGAATTCTGATGATGTAATCAAATGTTTTTTGGCATACCTGTGCCACAAGAGTCGGGCCCCGAACAGAGTGCCCCCAGGCAACTTTGTAGCAAAGGCATGTAGAAGCACATGTATGTGAACGATGATGTAATCAAATGCTTTTTGGCATACCTATGCCACAAGAGTCGGGCCCCGAACTTCGGGCCCCGAATGGGGTGCCCCCCAGGCAACTTTGTAGCAAAGGCATGTAGAAGCACATGTATGTGAACTCTGATGATGTAATCAAATGTTTTTTGGCACAGCTGTGCCACAAGAGTCAGGCCCCAGGCAACTTGTAGCAAAGACATGTGGAAGACTACGTATGTGAGCTTTGATGTGCTGACTCTCATTTCAGATGCCTTTGAGCATATCACTCAGGCATGAAGATGCCCGAGCAAACAAACGTTATCGTTTGAGCGAAGATCAACTCAAGAAGATTGCTTTGTATGATGGCCTGGTCCAGGACGATGATATATGTCCAATGTTTCGGCGGGTGCGACAATGTCCTTCTATGGTGTCTCCCACAAGGACCATCCTTGAATGCTAGATGACATTACATGACTGCCTTTAGTTATGGACTAGCTTTGCCTTGGCTAAATCCTGAGGATTTAAACGAGGCAGAGGGAAATATGGCGAGGCAACCTGTGTTGACTTGCTGAAAAGAGGCCTGCCTTGCTTAAATCCTCAGGATCTAAATGAGGCAAACTGGAATTTGAGGCGAAAAGTTTGCCTCGTTTAAATCCTGAGGATTTAAGCAAGGCAGGACTCTTTTCAGCAAGTCAACACAGGTTGCCTCGCCATATTTCCCTCTGCCTCGTTTAAATCCTCAGGATTTAGCCAAGGCAAAGCTAGTCCATAACTAAAGGCAGTCATGTAATGTCATCTAGCATTCAAGGATGGTCCTTGTGGGAGACACCATAGAAGGACTAACAGCATTCAAGGATAGCCTCTGTGGGATTCAGATAGAAGGACATTGGCAATTGATTTAGGATTCTATCATCATCCCTGTCGGAGAAAGCCATTGTCAATTGATTCAATTCAAGGATAATCCTGGTAGGAGAAAACCATTGTCATTCCTACAGGTACTGACGTCCCGGGCGCCTTGTAGCTCACCTTTCAGAAGGGACACCAAAGGGGGCTGTGCCTTGCACGCCCTTCACTACTTTCTGATATGGCAATGAGGATCCGGGCCAAGTACCAAACCCGAGGGAAGGCGGAAGCAATGTGGCTAGGGTTGAAAGAAGCTGCATCACCATGCATCTCTGAATTCGGATCACTTCCCCGCTTTCTTGATGACTTGGATCTTCTTTCTTCTCTGACTCTCTCTTCTCTGACACTCTCTCTTCTGACTGCAGGATGAGACTTTGAATGGTGAAGAGCTGATTCCCATTTCCGTCTGGGAGATTGACAGTAGATTCTTGTTGCTTCCAGAGCACAGAGCCCGAGACGGAGCGGAAGGCTTGAGGGAAGAGGAGCAGTGGTACCCGGCAACCCGGCGACCCGGCAACCCGGCGACCCGGCAACCTATAATAGAAAACGAGGAGAGTAGAGGAGAGAGAGAAAGAGAGCCGAGAGGATAGAGTAACATAGAGAAACAAAAAAGGCTGAGAGGAAAGAAATGGAATGAAATGGAAAGAGAAAAGGGGTTAAAAAGACATAAAAAGATTACAGGGAACAAAAAGAGAAAACAGGAAACAAAAGATAATGAAAGAAGAGGAAAAGATAGAGAATGCAAGAGTAAAGCGGAGGAACCCGGCAACAGAGGAAAAGATCATGTTAAATATATTTAAATATACCATACCAAAAGAAACCTTACATTTCCTCAGGTTTTCCAAATTTATGTATTATCAAATGGGGGTACACCCCCCCTCCAATACAAAAGTTAAGTCATGGGGATAATCTCAGCCTAAATCAAATCCGTCAATCCTGCTCCCAGGAAGAAAAGATCGGGTACTCATGCCTTGAGTAGGATTCTTCGACAAAGGATTTTCCTCTGGTGTCCACTGCACGAGTTCAATGGAATCGTCAGCCCCAGCTTTAGTCAGTTCCTCTTTGATCACACTTTGAGCACCTCAAGCCACCGCAAATGAAACAGCAGCGGACGCTGTTGTTGCAATCTCTGGGTTGTCTCAATTGTCGTTTTCAATAACTTCTGAGAACCAGTGTTAACAAACCAGAGTGTATACATATGTGCATTAATGAAGTTCCAACATGCTCACCACCACACACAACATCACTTCTTATCACTTCTTGAAGGCTCCCTCAACGTCTCGACGAATTCAGGTCAGCCGATTCAAACATGCTGAGATACCGGTATTCAGATTGATCTAGACCAAAAGGTTGGTCAGCAGCTTGGCTCAAAGCACACTCGGAATCAGTTCAGACACCAGACAGCCCTTCTGAGTCGCACCTCTTCACTCTTTATGCATCTTATTCCCAGACTAGAACTGACCATATGACCTCGAAGTTACACACACATACACACACCCATCGGAGCATGCTGCAAGACACCTGTCAAGGAAGTCGAAGACAGCACTTGGCAAACATCCGCGCTTTCCTGCAGACAAGCCCAACGGCCAAGAGGTTGTTCAAACATGCCATGGCGAAGTGTCCCTTTAGATTAATTAAATTCTTTAGCTATGAGGGGATCATCTGCAGGCAGAAGCGCACATGCAAATCTAGCATTGAGACTGTCCAGTCTGAAAGAAATATGACCACGATTTCTGAAAGCTTATCTGTGGTCCCCAACATGTCCGAAATAATTCTGAAATATTTCTGACAAAACATCTGAACTATTTCTATTTTTTCTAACATATTTCGGGGAAAAAAAACTGAAATGCGTGAAAACAAGGTGAAGATTGCAAAAAAAAAAGGTGTTCCTCCATTTTAGGCAGCTGGAAGCTGAAAACGACGTCTTTTTAGGCAGCTGGAAGCTGAAAACCTATCTAAATTCAATGAAAACCAGTTGAAAACTCTGAAAATAGCAGCAAAACAGCTTGTTTCCCTACATGTTTGATAGCTGGGAGCTGAAAATTTTTGGATTCAGACATGCTCCAGAAAATTCACAGAAATATTCCATATTTCCTCAGAAATCCGCCGGCCTGCCGGCGTGTCTGATTGTGAGGTGTTGTGCTTGTGTCTGTTCTTGTTTTGTACTTGTTTCTGTTCTTGGCTTGTACTTGTTCCTTTGTTCTCTTCCCGCGCGTTTTTGCTTCGTCTGAATGCAAGTCACCCCCCCCTCCCCACTAGTACTAGTACAAGTACAACTACAAGTACTAGTACTACTAGTACTACTAGTACTACTAGTACTACTAGTACTACTAGTACTACTAGTACTACTAGTACTACTAGTACTGCTAGTACTACTAGTACTACTAGTACTACTAGTACTACTAGTACTACTACTACTACTACTATTACTACTATTACTACTACTGCTGCTGCTGCTGCTGCTACTACTACTACTACTACTACTTCTGCTACTACTCTACTACCAATACTACTACTACTACTACTACGACTACTACTCCTACTACTAATGCTACTACTACTACTACTCCTCCTACTCCTACTCCTACTCCTACTCCTACTCCCACTCCCACTCCTACTCCTACTCCTACTCCCACTCCCACTCCTACTCCTACTCCTACTCCTACTCCTACTCCTACTCCTACGCCTCCTCCGACGCCTCCTCCGACGCCTCCTCCAACGCCTACTCCGACTTAGACTCGTCAGAAGTTTACACACAGAAGCTTTTACACACTGAGGCATTTACACACCAAAGCTTTTACACACAGATGCGTTTACACACAGACACTTTTACACACAGAAGCTTTTACACACAGAGGCGTTCCCGGATTCCGTCCAAAAAGCTCTCCCCCAGCACAGTGACGGATTTTTGGCGTTTTTTCCACACAGAAGCTTTTACACACAAAGGCTTTTACACACACACAACACAACAGCTTTTCCTCGCAGCAGCTCTTACACATAGAAGCTTTTACACACAGAACCGTTGACACACAGAAGCTTTTACACGCAGAAGCTTTTACACAGAAGCTTTTCCACACCGAAGCTTTTACACACAGAGGCTTTTACACACAGAGGTTTTTACTCACAGACACTTTGACACACAGAACCTTTGACATACAAAAGCATTTGCGCACAAAAGCTTTTACACGCCGAAGCTTTTACATACAGCTTTAACACACAGAGGCTTTTACACACCAAAGCTTTTACACACAGAGGCTTTTACTCACAGACACCTCTACACACAGAACCTTTTACACGCAGACGCTTTTACACACAAACGCTTTTACACACAGCAGCTTTTACACACAGAAGCTTTTACACACAGAAACTTTTACACACAGACGCTTTTACACACAGAAGCTTTTACACACAGACGCTTATACACACAGACGCTTATACACACAGAAGCTTTTACACACCGCAGCTTTTACGCACAGATGCTTTTACACATACACTGGCCTTGCTTTTGTCCAGGCCACGGTCTGCGACTACGCCGAAGGCTCATATCAAATATCAAATGTCTCTATGCACCAAATGGCTATGGCCGGCGGGCTTGCCGCAGGCAATTAAAAAGAGCTCAGATTTTTTTCAGAAATGTCTGAACTATTTCCGATTTTTTTCTGAAAAAAAAATGGGTAAAAAGTTTTGAGAACTTTCTGAAATGTGTCCAAAATGCCAATAGAAAATAGCAGCAACTCAAAACAGTACTTAACAGTTACTTGTTCTCAATTTTTGGCGGCTGGGAGCTGAAAACCATATCCGAATTCAATGAAAAATAGCTGGAAACCGTGAAAAGACCAGCAAAACAGTTAATTTTCATTTTTGGCTGCTAAGAACTGAACATTTTGGGATTCAGACATTTTTGAGAAATCCAACCATTGGTTCTGAAAAATGTTGCCTGTTTTTGGGAATGCTCAATTTTTTAAGAAATCTGTGAGAATTTCGTGGGGGGCATTGATAAAGTTTCGGAAATCTAGCCATATTATGTTGAGAAAAAAATCAGGAATCAATCAATTTTATCAGATACCTCAGCAGTCTGGACAGAAAGTCTCAAATCTAGCAGCAAGTTCTGTCCTGTTCGCAATTCAAACAAAACGTGGTTAAAAGAAAACACACTTCATCTGAGAAATGGATGCCATTGGGATGCACTTTGGGCCATTGCTGGCAATTGCTGGCCTTCTTTCCCTCGATGGAAATCTCAAAACAAAGGTTCACCGATTGTTGCAGCCGTCGAGTCGCAATCTTGGAGAGCGCATCGCTGGCACAGGCCCAATTCAACTCCACAGCCGTTTCAGCAACTTTGAGACCCGCAAGGCGTAGGAATGCTTGCTTCATACCCGCCTGGACTTGTGGGTTGCTGATAAACTCCTGGCATGAAGATGCACTTAAGACATCTTCAGGCCTGGACAGACTTGTGACGCACGAGGGAAAAGATCATCGCAATGACCAACAGCTGGAGAACAAAAACTATTCCACCCTACTTATCATGAAATTGCGTGACCGCTCCATTGATCAAGCATGTCATGATCAAACTGATTGAGCACCCAATGTCTCATTGGATGTCCCAACTTGGCATCAATATGTATGCATGTATATATATATATATATTTATGTATTTATATAAATATACATATTTATATAAATATACATATTTATATAAATATACATATTTATTCTTCTTGTATATTTTATATATGGAGATATTTATTTGTTTGTTTATCTATGTGTGTGGTTATTTATCTGTGTATGCGTTTATTTATCTATGTATACGTTTATTTTATTGACCTAATTATTTAGTTATTTACTTGATGTATCTATTTATTCACTTGTTTATTTATTTGTTTATTTGAGGATACGATACATCCGCTACAAATGATCCATGCACTGGTTTTCCATGT